TCCTCTGCGAGGGCAGATCTGCATCCCCCCCCCCCCCCCCAATAGCTAGCAATCCAAAACAGTCCAGTGGAGCCTGAGCGGTGGGTGTTGCCTTCTGACACACTTCCGGTGATGTCAGGGGGTGTGGCATATGCAAATAAGTTATGCTAATGAGTTCCTGCACCTCTTTTTCTACGAAATGACCTCTGCAGGAAAGTGTGGGAGAAAGCCGTCCTTCAGGCACCCCAGGTCCCAAGCCATGTAGGGTTGACTTACAGGTCTCTCTAAGAGGGGACCTTTCTACATTCAGGCTGCTCCTCCTTTGGGTACCCTGCTACCAGGTGCCGGAATGCCAGAGACGTTGGCCTTGTCGTGGGCGCATTCGGTTAGAGCTGGGCGTGTCTCAGTTGCCCACTGGGCTCACAGCAGGAAGCCACTAAAAGTTACTCTGAGCAGCCGTACATCCTGCCAGCTGTCAGGGCTCTCCTCTGGTCCTGCGCTGCCTTCCCCACCCCGAGGCTGCCAGGCGGCACGGAAGATTAGCTTGGCCTCCTGCTAGGCCCATGTTGTCACGGAAGCAAGTTTGGAAGGCTGGAAAGGCATATCCCTCTCACCGCCCCCCTCCGCTGCCAACTAGAATATCCCTTCTGCTTCTGTTTTTAATAGTCTTCTGGGTTTGGTGGGAAGCTTCCTGTCTGGGGAGCTTGGGAAGTCACCGTCAGCGTGCATGCCGATAATGGACTCTGGCAGTCCCTGGCCTGGCTGCCCCTTTCCGCCAGCACAGGGGTCCCCAACGTGGTGCCCACGGGCACCGAAGTGGGCACCAAGAGAGGTGTCAGTTGCCAGTGGCACCAAGTGTTTCTGGAAGGTGGGTGGGGCGCTTGCCGTGCGCAGCTTCTGATAGGCCGCTGAAGATCCAGTTGGCTTTGCAGATTAAAATAATGCTGGATTGGTAACAGCTGCCGTCCCAGTGTCCGGCTGATTGTCTCTCGGTCCTCTTTCCCCGTGTATTTTGAAAATTACCCCTCTTCTCCCCCCGGTCTTCGGGCTTCCCAGGCAGAAAACGAGAAGACCTCCCTGGCCTCCGACTTGCAGGAGCTGAAGACGCAGCTCACCACCACCAAGGAGGCCCTGGCTCAGCAGCAGCTGCGCAACAGCCACGACGCGCAGCACTGTCAGGCCCCGGAGGCCGGCCCGCACCGAGAAAGAGCCGGCCTGTCGCTCCAGGAGAGGGAGGCCTGCCGCGAGGCGGTGGAGAAGGCCCAGCTGGCCGCCCAGAGGGAGAAGGAGGCGGCCGCGCAGCTGGAAGCCGACTTGCGGGTCGCCCGGAGGGTCGCCCTGGAGTGTCAGTCGCGCCTGGCTCAGGCCCAGGAGGAGCTCCTGGGCTTCTCGGAGGAGCTGGCCGGGCTCTACCATCACGTCTGCACCTGCCACAGCATCACCCCGCAGCGGGTGGTGTTGGATTACTACCGGGAGGGCCGCGGCGCCCAGAGCCTGTGCCGGAGGCGATCTTCCAGGAAGTTGCCGGTGACGGAGCGGGAGGTGGGGGGCGGCGGGGACCGGTCCCCCGGCAGCGGCCACAGCTCGCCCTGCGGCCTGGAGCCCCTCAACCTGGCCAGCCTGCTGGGCGTCCTACAGGAGCAGCTGGGGCACCTGCAGGTGGCGCTGTCCCTGGCGCACCGGCAGAGCCCCTCGGGGCACGGCGCGGAACTGGAGCGGGACAAGGAGGTGCTGGTGGAGGAAGTGCTGAAGCTGAAGTCCCTGCTGAGCACCAAGCGGGAGCAGATTGCCACCCTGCGCACAGTGCTGAAGGCTAACAAGCAGGTAAGGGCCAGGGGAAGCCCGGCTAAAGAAGGAAGTGGCGCTCGGTGGAGGTAGCCATGTGCGGTTCCGCTCCCCGGTGGGAGAGATGCAAACCTGTGGCCGGGTTTGGGAGTTGATCTCTGTTTTTGCTGTTGTGACAGCAAATGTCGGTATAGGGGGCAGTTCTGCAAGGGGGTTGGAGTAGGTGACCTCTATGATCCCTTCTAACTTCGTCAAGAAACTGGTCTCCTTTGAAAGACTTTTTCTGCCTAAGTGTTAGCTTTCTCAACTGTAGAAGTCATCACCCCCACCTGCTGGCTTGTTCTCAGAATTGTGGCGTATTCTGAGAACTGTGGTTCTCAGAATTGTGATTAACTTGCAGCCGCTGAGAACTGTCATCTAAACTGGTGGACAGCTTGCAGTTTAGAGGTCTATCCTGGTGAACAGCTTTCTATGGCTTTTCTTTCTGCGCTGAGAACCTCAGCCCCACCAGGAAAAAAAATTGCCCTGCAAGCCCCAAAATTTTGGCTACGGGCCTGTTGCCCGGCCTCCTTCCAACCCCCCGCTGCCTTTCTCCCTGCAGACGGCAGAGGCGGCCCTCTCCAACCTCAAAAGCCAGTACGACGGCGAGAAGCTGCTCGTGTCCGAGACGATGGCCAAGCTGCGGCACGAGCTCAAAGCCCTGAAGGAGGACGCGGCGACCTTCTGCTCCCTGCGCGCCATGTTTGCCAGCAGGTTAGAAGCTTGGGGAGGGAAGAGGGAGGCAGGCTTACCCTGGGGTCAGGGTGTGAAGTCACCCCGGGTGGGACACCTGCGTTATGCTACCGATGCCATAAAAGGGGCAGGGCAGTAATAAGGAGAGTGGGTGAGATCGGGTGAAGAATCTGGTGGGAGTCGACCCTGTTTCCCCCCCAGACATTTAAAGGCTGCTTGTGCAATAAGGGCTATGGAGATAGATCAAGATGGGTAGCCGTGTTAGTCTGTGTGTAGCAGCACAAAAGAGCAAGAGTCCAGCAGTACCTTAAAGACTAACACTATTTGTGGCAGGGTAGGAACTTTCATGAGTCACCGCCAATGTTCCCTCTAAGCTGTGGATTCTTGTGAGCAAACATCCTGCTTTGTGAGCTCCTGGCATTAAAGTTGTGGGCGAGTGATTTGGCTGCTGCATAAATTAGGTTGCTCTGGAGCCATCTTTACCGAGCTAAGACAAAAATGTGTGAGCCGGCCGCTAAAAAACTGTGAGCTAGCTCACACTAACTCAGCTTAGAGGGAGCACTGGTCACCGCTCACTTCTTCAGATGCAATATAATAGTGAGACACACAGTATATATGTAAACACAAAGAATTTTTTTTAATTTATTTTTTTAATAGAATTTTTTTATTAGCTTCAGCAAAAGTAAGGACAGACAACTACAGAAAAGAAAAGTAACATATAACAGAAAAACAAAAGAACATCAATGGAGCATATACTCTTGTTTCAGTTTTGATTTAACATACTAAAATACAATCAGGTTCTTACACACCTATCCCAGTTGGTCATTTAATGTTGTAGCAATTCTTTTCATAGTCTGTATTTATTTAGATAGTTTCCCGGGATAATTTTCCATCCATTTCTAAAATCTCAACCAGTTTCTTTCTTTCAGAGGCAAACACAAAGGAATTAAGTGCATGGTGTAAATAGAAGTTTCAAGAATCAAGAAATGATGATGATTAAAGAATGATTCATTTATCAAGAAATGATGATGATTAAAGAATGATTCATTTATAAACAAATAAGCCAACCATTTGTACAGTTTCCAAATCCTAAGCAATATGGCTTTATCAAATTGGAACCAGCAGCTTGGTGAAACGTGGCACATGTTGAGGAAGCCGGCAATCCTGTAGTTCCTCTTTTGGAACCGCTCAAGTGTTCCTCTTTTGGAACTGTTGGAGTAGATATCTTCTGGAAGCTTGTTCCCCCCCTTTACACTGTGAAGCATATCGCTCATTAAGAGGGACGGAGCACTTTGGAGCATTTTCAGGGATGGAAAATGGTCAGTAAAATCAGTAAAACTCAGTTTTTCCGTCTTGGTCAGTGATTTGTCAGTTTTTTTAAAAAACTGGCCAGTAAAGTCAGTATTTCTTTGATTTTTGTGAATGCAGTTTGTGTTTTTTCCTTTTCATTACTGCATTTTTGGGGAAACATGATGTTTTCCCAGTGAGAAGACAGATTGTTTTCAGTTCAGTTATAAAGTACTTGAAGGACTTTGTTCCTAAGAGTAAAAGTGATTTGGCGAAATCTTCCACAAAGTATAGAGACATAATTAACCTCTTAAAACATGAGACAATGAAAGCAGAGGCGGTGGGTATTGTGGGATTCAACATGGTAGAAGGAGTTTGAGAAAGCAATGGAAGAAGAGGACAAGAAAAAAAAATGCTTGAGGATGCAGTGGACAAAACTGTTGAGAAACGAAACAGTTCTTTAATAACTTCTTTTTTCATCAAAAAACCAAAGACAAAGTAAAAGCAAAGATGTCTTACCTTACAATAATTATGTTTTGTTGTCTGTCATAACTATTACTTTATCTGTGGTTTTTAATATGTTTTTGCTGTTTTATTATCTGCAGTATGTGATTTTTTTTTAAAGGAATATTTTTTTGCCTTACATTTTTAACAATAATGAAAACATTGTCCTATCTTCATTTTAAAAAAATCAATAAAAAGATGTGCAATCCTTTTATCTGGATCATATCTGACTATGGGGCTGGCTATGGGGATGGTGGAAGCCAGATAATTATTTTTAATTAAGTCCTAGTTTTACCTTTAAAACGCTAGCTTATCAATAGGCTGACATTAAATTGTTCAGTAATTTGTCAGTACTTGGTCAGGTTTTTTTTTTTAAATTTTGGTCAGTAAAATCAGTATTTTTGATCCTCTAACTAGTTTCCACCCTTGCATTCTGGACTTCGTGAGCCGCATACAGGACTTATTTATGCCCTGATTATGAATTGTGCATTGTATGAATAATTTGGCTTAAGAGCTGGAAATTGTATAAGTGATTTACTTATTGGTTTATAAATGAATTATTCTTTAATTATAATTATTTATTGATGTTTGAAATTGTTATTGACAATTTTTGGAATTGTTTGACTGCCGTAATTTCTTTGTGTTTACACTTCTTCGGATATAGCTGGAAAGGAAGCAGAGTTCAGTGTCTAGTGAAACTGTAATGATTTCATATTTTGGTGTGTGTGTTTCTGTAAATGTTTAGTTTGACTGCAGTAATGTAAGGAGAGTGATAGAGGGAGATGAGTGTGATGTGATGAGCTGAGGACTGAGAGTGTGGGAGGAGGGGTGTCTCTGAGCGGGTTCTGTGTGTTTTTGGAGAGTTTTTGAGTTTAGCCTGTATGGCAGAAGAAGCGGTTTGAGTCTATCCTGTATGGCTAGCCTGTGTGGCTAAGAGAGGCAGAGGTTAGCCTGTGTGGCTAAGGCTGTCAGAGTTGAGTTTTGGCGTTTTGAGAGACTAGTGTGTGACGCCCAGTTTTATCAGTTATATTTATAAGTTCCTTTCTTCAAAAACAGTTCAAAAATACCCAGAAACCTATTTTGTTCTTTGATAAATAAATTACTATTTGTTTAAACTTATCCCAGCAGTCAGAACAGTCCTTCCTCAGGGCCACGTAGTCCTCTGAAATGCCCAGACACATGGTAATTCTACCATAATAGAGAAATTTGGAATTTTTAATTCCTGGTGGCAGCAGTAATCTACTAAATTTATGTGAACAGTGTGTGGTTTAAAGGAGAAACAGTCCCCCCATTAAGGAGGCCGTCACAGAAACGTTCCCTGTCTTTGGTGTGGCACCGAAGACAGCCGAAATGACCAAGGCCAGCCTGACGTCCCTTGGATTGTCACTTTTTGGGGGTGCTCCTCTTGACTGGCCTCTCAACCCCCTCCGTCTTCCCAGGTGTGACCAGTACGTGAGCCAGCTGGATGAGATGCAGCGGCAGCTGGCGGCAGCCGAGGACGAGAAGAAGACACTGAGCTCCCTGCTGCGAATGGCCATCCAGCAGAAGCTGGCGCTCACCCAGCGCTTGGAGTCCCTGGAGAGCCCGGCGGAGGTGCCGGGGGTCAGGCGCAGACCCCTCAGAGCGGCCAAGAGCACTGTGGTGAGGACAGGAGGGGCCGCATGGGACTCTCATGGATGGATGGATGGATGGATGGGGGAGGGGAGGGGAGGGTAAGAGCTGCAGGAGTGATCTTCGGCCTGCTGCCAGGGGGCCCAGGACAGCCTGTGGCGTTCTGGCCCACGCAGGTATTTCCCCCTCTTCCTCTGTGTGGGAGCCAATTGTAGTGTTGCATCCACTCCAGTGCTCTTGTGAACCAGAGCCAGCGCCAAAGGAGCCCTTGCGGTGACAGCTTCCGGGAAGCCAAAGCCTTTGGGTTCCAGGGGAGTCCGGTCACAAAGCTGACCTTGGGCCAGGCGTGCACTCTCAACCAAACCTGCCTCACTGGGTTGTATCAGAGATAAAATGGAGGACAGGAGAGTGACGTAAACTACCTTGGGATTCACCGCCACAGGAGGTGGCGGCGGCAACAAGCATGGACGGCTTCAAGAGGGAGTTGGATAAACATCTGGAGCAGAGGTCCCTCAGTGGCTATTAGCTACAAGGGATAGAGAGGAACTCACAGGCTGGGGCAAGGGATGCTCTGTATTCTTGGTGCTTGGGTGGGGGGGCAACAGTCGGAGGGCTTCTGGTGTCCTGGCCCCACTGCTGGACCTCCTGAGGGCACCTGTTGTTTTTGGCCACTGTGTGACACAGAGTGTTGGACTGGATGGGCCTTTGGCCTGATCCAACGCTGGCTTCTCTTATGTTCTTATGAAGTATAAATTGAAGTTAATAAAATAACAAGCGAATTTGCACACCCAATTCTTGTGTTTGCAAGCCCTCCTATTCTGCCAATCAGTGTGTCGTCGCCTACAGTTGCTACCAAAGCAATGGTGACTTGATTTTATTAGCAGAATAAAAGGGTGAGGCAGGAGGGGGGCGGCCACAAAGCAGGACTGGAGAACGAGAGGGAAGACTTAGGTGGCTTTGTGTGACAGAGGCAGCTCCATTGCCTGGAGCCCTTCCTGCAAATCACCTATCAATGCCTCCTCTAAGCTGTGGAGTCTCGTGAGCAAAAATTCTACTTGGTGAGTTACCGGCATTAAAGTTATGAGTGAGCAATTTGGCTACTATACAATACAGCATCTTTATTGGCATATAAACAATAAAATAAAGCTTCATCAATAAGATAGCATTACACCTGCAAATCTTAAAATACATCAGTATTAAAAATGGCTCCTTGCTGCCAAAATCTTGGACAAGAATTCAGCGATCTGTGCAGTAACTTCTGGTGACTTACCTGCCAGAAGGTACCTCGTTGTGTTGTCAGAGTTAGTCCCAGACAGTAAGGGCTTCATCAAAAGTAATCGGAGATGTGAATGAAGGGGGTAGCGTAATAGGATATGATCTAAGGTATCGGGTTCTCTGGCGTGATCTGGTCCATGGGGTCGCGAAGAGTCGGACTCGACTGTGCGACTGAACAACAACAAAAATCGGGTTCTCTAGATGAGCAGTTACAGATTCTGTCACATTTCGGGATACCTCTATATCTACCTGAAACCGAAGATGAGGGAAAAACATTAAATCTGGCTAGCATAAAGGCTCTGCGTTGCAGCAATTTGGCTCCTGCATAAATTAGTCGGCTCTGGAGCCCTCCTTCCTGAACGAAGGCAAAAATGTGGGAGCCGGAGGCTAAAGAACTGTGAGCTAGCTCACACTGATTCAGCTTAGAAGGAACACTGGTTGTGAGCGAGCGATTTGGGTACTGCATCAGTCAGTTTGCTCTGGAGCCCTCCTTCCTGAGCGAAGGCAAAAATGTGTGAGCCGGGGGCTAAAGAACTGTGAGCTAGCTCACACTAACCCGGCTTAGAGGGCGCACTGCCGCCCGTGTATTTTTCCAAAGATACTCCTGCAAGGGCTCGAAAACGCGCTCTCTTCCCAGGACGGAAGTCAAAATCCATCCAGTGCTGTATAAAGGCTTCAATGCTGTGAGTGAGTGAATCCCTGCTGCATTTGTGCTAGCTGTGTCGGAGACAGGGTCATGAGACGACTCGGTCCCGGCGCGAGGCTTTTGCACGATTCTACCTTGGCATCTGGATGGCCTTCGGTGGAGACCACAGAACTCCGATCCTTTTTTTTTTTTTTGCCGCCCGTGTATTTTTCCAAAGATACTCCTGCAAGGGCTCGAAAACGCGCTCTCTTCCCAGGACGGAAGTCAAAATCCATCCAGTGCTGTATAAAGGCTTCAATGCTGTGAGTGAGTGAATCCCTGCTGCATTTGTGCTAGCTGTGTCGGAGACAGGGTCGCCAGCTCCAGGTTGGGAAACGCCTGGAGGTTTGGGAGTGTGCAGCTTGGGGTGGACAGGAACCTCAGTGGGGCACAACCCCGGAGAGTCCGCCCCCGAAACCGTCCCATGTTCTCCAGCGGAACTGATCTCTGTAGGCTGGAGAAGAGCTTTCCCCACATGTACCCCAGAGAGCACTGCAATCTGGGGCCCGGAACCGGCTGGCCCTCCGGAGTCTCAAGGAGGCCAGGCTAGTCACAAGCAGGACCAGGGCTTTTTCGGTGGTGGCTCCATCCTGGTGGAATTAGCTCCCGGAAGAGATCAAGGGCCTGTGAAACGGAGATCTTCCTCCAGGCTTTCAGAGCCGCCGTCGCCGCCACCAATCAACTTCATTAACAACTATTTGTTGAAGGATAAGAAGCCCTGGAATTTATACCCTCAGCCTGTGCCAACCGCCCGAAAGACAGGCCATGTAACCCTTGGACAAATGCCTTGTCACTATACATGTTTCATTAGGTTAAAATTGCCGGTTGCTGTTATATAACCTTTAATTTTGATGTTATCTATAAGTCTGATACAGCTATTGTTGTTATGTTGTTTGTCAACAAGGTACTGTTTGGAAAGTCAACTTCCTCGCTCTGCTGTTACTGTATCAGTATTTTTATTGTCTGTTGATATCCTGTATTAAAAAAGAAAGACATCGGAAGTAGACCTAAGAGCCGGCTGTGGGAAGAAAAGAACTAATATAGTAGCCATTGTCGATCCAGCAACAACAATACTAGCACCTACTGTGTTCTCGTTAGCTAGTTTTAACATTGTTTTAATTGTTGAATGGTTTTACTGTAAACATATGCTGATTTTATGTAAGCCACCCTGAGCCGGCCTCGACCGGGAGGGCAGGGTAGAAATTTAAGAAAATAAAAAATAATTAAAAATTTCAATTCAGGAGACCCCCAGGCCCCACCTGGAGGTTAGCATCCCTGCCAGCAGGTACTACGGAGAACAGGAAAAACTGTGAAAAAGTGACGCTTAATATATGTCTTTAAAGAATCATAAAAAAGTGAACAAAAAAAATATACATAATCATAGAAAAATATATATTGATGGTGATCTCCGGAATGTCTTGCCGTTTCGAAGGACGATCTTCTTCTGAACAAAGATGTGGGACAAAAAGCTGTCTCTCAATAGTTCATATCCTCTGGTGACGTCTCACAATTATCAAAGAAGATTTTCAATAATCATAACAGTTGTAATGTATAGTAGAACCTGCAGGTTCTACTATGTATAGGTTCTACTATACATTACAGCTGTTATGATTATTGAAAATCTTCTTTGATAATTGTGAGACGTCACCAGAGGATATGAACTATTGAGAGA